TTTCAGCATGCTTGGTTACCAAAAAAGACCAAGAAAGAATAACTTACCATCACTCTTCATGTTAGCATGTGTCAGTTCTGACAGCCATGGCTACCTATGTGATGGGGTGCTTGAAAAGATAAATTTAGTAACAATATGTTTTTCCATGTTTTGAACACTGAAAAATGGCCTTTGATTTGTGGCTATAGATCTTGGCTGATGGACCTTGTATTGCTCTCAATGAAAAAGGAGTAGTTAGTAATAATCAATGTAATTTTAAACCCCAGTGTTTTTATTTATCCCAGAGATCAATAACACTGTAGGAGCATTCCCTTCAATCAAAGACACTGTGGAGAGATTCTATTCATCTTTTTAGCCATATCCATTTCTCAGTGCCGATGCTTAAATAACTTCAGCATGTATGAATTTGTTTGGGGTGCCTTTAAAGCAAGCTAATTCTGTTCCAGTTGAATGTCCTTGATTATACGGTACTCAGACAGAAGATTACAAAACACTAGAAACTATTCAAATGTCTTTGTGTTAATTAAATTGCCAGAAATTTTATCATGAAGCTCTAATGATTCCAAGGCTCTGGCAGAATGTGGTTCCTTTAAAAGGAACAAGGCACTGGAATGCGGCCTCCTTTGCTGACTTTGCAAGGCTGCCTGCCATCAGCCAGGGCCCCTGGGATCTGGGCAAAGCAAGCCTTTGGTTCGAAGTGCATGGACAGAGGTATGCAAAGAGTTTTGAAAATTCTGTGCAGGGTATCAGACCTTGAATCTGCTCAAGTCAGGACAGAGTTTCCTACTTCTTTTTCTTTCAAACTCCAGCACTGTTGTTAGAACCCCCAAAATACAACTTTTCTCTTGACCTACACAGTCTGCCATAGTTCATTTCAGGAACAGTATTTTAAGGATTTTTTTTTTAAAAAAAATTCCCTCTTGATTTTTATCATGATACTTTCTTTTCCAGTCTCTGGAACCTGATAGTAAAGGTCCCATGTATTCTTCTCTCCTGTGAACTTTAAAAACCCCAGGGAGGGTATCCCGTCCCCCCATCTTGGCTTCGAATGTGGGAACCTTTGGTTACAATGAGATAGCGAACAATGTGAAATTGTGGGTGCAGAGATGGCAGCCAGGCTGGTTGAAAATGCTCAAATGTTGTGAAAGGCTTCATGGCTTGCTATGAAATGTGTCTCCCCAGAGCCTATATTCTGTCAATTGCTTCTTCCAATAAGTTATCCAAAGTAAAAACAGGCAGGAATTATTTTTTTCTCAATCTTTCGAGGATCCTTCTTGCTTGGGCTGCTCTGACTTCTCACACTCGAAATCTGAAGCCAGGTACAACCTGCACATTTCTTTTGGAATCTGACACTACTAAGAGAATTGCCAAGATTTGACAAACCTTCCTATGAACCTCGGGAAATTTCATGCTAGGCCTGAACCGGAAGCAGGTACATTTCACTAAGTGTCAGATTTCCTTCTGGTTAGCTCACCGGGCTCTTTCCCCAGGTTGTAATAATTATTTCCTGCTTCAAGATGGGGGAAAAGATTAGCTGGCCTCACACACACTACCAAGTAAAACATTTCTAGGGAAAGGAATTCCACCAAATGCAGAGACGAAGAAGCCATCCTCTTACATGTCACTTCATCTGGACTCTTGATTTGACTAATGTCTTTCTTAGAAATATTACAATGTAGAACTATAATATGAATATAAAACGAAAAGAGGCTTGCCTGGAACCTTAGCACATGGGAGACTGAAGAAGGAAGGTTGTGAGTTCAAGGCTGGCCTGGATTACATAGCAAATTCCAGACCAGCTTGGGTTATGAGGGTATTATGCCCTGTCTCAAGAACACGGAGGGAGGGAGAAAGGGATAGATGAAAAGAGGGTGTTCAAATAGAAGCTAAAACCATCATGATCTAACAGTGATAATAACAAGACCTACAATCATGGCTTCCAAGGGAGAAGCGGGAGGAGTAAAGGCATTTAGAAGATCCCCTGCATCTGTAGGTTTACTGGTGCAACAGAGTACCCCAAGGACTCACCTGTGCAGCTCATAATACTTCACGGATTTAGTTCAGCCATCCTACCTCATCCCTTTCCTTCTTCCCATGTGAACGAAGTCTTTCTGGGCTGAAGTAAGTGACACATCTTTTGTTTACGTAAACCAGACCTCCTCAGCTTTGGCAGCACTGACGTTCTAGAATGGCAAATTTACTGGGGTGGCTTAATTCTGTGCACTGCAGAATGAGCAGCAGCGTCGTTGTCCCAATTCCGCTAGATATGGAAGCACAACATCTCTCTGTGTAACCTAGACTGGCCTTAAATTCATAGCAATCCTCCTGCCTCTGCCTCCCAGAATGTTAGGTTTACCATACTCATCTCAGCAACATAAATTTTGAAAGGGGTGTCAAAAACATACATTGCAAAAAAACAAAAAAAACAAAAATCCAACCAACCAACCAAACAAACAAACAAAAATCCCCGCTTTTTCAGCAGAGGGAAACCAACTTTTCCATGTGTAGAAGAATGGGATCACATCTGCGTTTCTCACTCCATATCAAAATCAATTCAATATAGATCAAAAACTTTCATATAAGATCAGCAACTCTGAAACTGCTAGAGAAAAACACTTGAAGATGTAGGCACAGGCAAGGACTTTGTCGAAAAGGACTCTAGTAGCTCTGGGGTGTCTGCAAGAACTGAGAAATGGGGTCCCAAGGAATGCATGGAATATGTGTCTAAACACCTCAGCTCAGAGGAAACGGTGACCAGCATGAAGACATAAACAGCAAAATGGGAGAAAATCTTTACTAGCTATCCACATAACAAGATATTAATATATCTAGAATAGATAAAGGACTAAAAATGTTATACATCTCTCCCAAAATCATTCTGTCAGTAAGTTGGCAAAAGAACAAATAAATGAACAAATAGTTCTCTAAAGATGTAAATGGACGTTTCCTGGCCTGAACACCCAGTCCCAAATAACGAGCTCAGAGGCTGAATATGAATTAGAAATGCTTAGCCAATAGCTCAGGCTTATTACTAACTAGCTCGTACATTTTAAGTTAACCCATATTCCTTATTTTATGCTCTGCCACCTGGCAGTATCTTTATTAGCATGGCACATTCATCTCCTGCTTCCTCTGCATCTGGCTGGTGACTCCTGACTCCACCTTTCTCTTTCCTGTCATCCTCAGTTTGGTCGTCTTGCCTGGCTACTGGCCAGTAAGCATTTTATTAAGCTGACTCAAGTGACAAATCTTTACAGTGTACAAGAGGATTATTCCACAGCAATGAAGTGCAGGTGGCCATCAGAGTCTGTGCTCAGCATCCTTGGCCATCAGGGACGTGAAAATCAAAACTACCTGTCAAAAATTCTGCCACCTGTCAGGTTGGCTACCACTGAAAAGCAAACCAGAGCTGGAGATAGACCTCCGTTAATAATGTTTGCCTAGCATGCATAAAACCTGGTGTTCATTCCACAGAACCTCATAACCGGCTGTAATGGTGCACACCTGTAACCCCAGCACTGGGGATGAAGATGCAGGAGGATTAGAACTTCAAAGCCAGCCTGGGCTGTAAAGCGAGCTCAAGGCCAGCCTGTGTTACATAAGCCCCTATACCTCATCCCAGCAAAAAAGAAAAAAAAAAAACACTCACAAATGCTGGTAAGGATGCAGATGAGAAGGAACACACACACACACACACACACACACACACACACACACACACACACACAGGAAAATAAGGCCAGCACTTTGGGAAGAGGAAACAGACAATTGGAGTATGAGCAAAGAGACAGCAGAGGGTAATGGGAGGTGAATATGGATATCCTCATATATGATATCCTTAAACAAAGATGCCATTATGAAAAATCCCACTCTCTACAATGAATGCACACTAATAAAAAAAATTAAGATTTATCTGCCCATGAAAATTTCTCATGCTTTCTGTTCCCAAATTCTGCCATTTGCATATGGGTATACATATTCTGTAATCGTGAAATGACTCCATGGAATACCTAGGAAAAATTATAGAACTTAGAAGGAATAAAGACATCAGCAATAAGAGGAAAATAGAAACAACAGCAGCATTAACAAAATAAATGCTAACAGGCAAACCTACTACTAAGGAAATGCAAAAGATGTCTTAGGAAATATAAGCATCTACCTTTTAAAAAAAAATTCTGATAACCATCATGTGAAAATGGTTGCTTCCGTACTTTGCAAAGTATTGAAGTTGTATTGCATAACAGAGTAGGCAGCAGCCAAATATGATTTTACGTTTGAGCTTAAATAAAATTTATAATTTGGTGTTTGGAGTCACTAGTGTTCAGAGCTTCATGTGACTAGGACCTAGCAGATCAGACAGTATAGAGTATGAGTCATTTTATCATGTGGAAAACATTCTGCTGCCCAAGTGGGCTATCTGAAGTGCACAGCAATACTAGAAATTATGGCAAGGTAAGTTTCAATTTAATATGTGCAAACATTTACAAAATAGACCTTTGCAACAGTAATCCTCTCAAATAAGTTTAGACAGATGCCAAGAAAGAAATCCTGCTGGATAGACCACTGTGTCAGATGAACGGGCATCTCTAATCCAGACTCAAAGGGGCCTATGTATGAGTTTTATGAATTTTTATATGACTTTTTTTTTTTACAATTTTTAAAAACAACCCTGTAAAGTTGGGAGAAATAGTCATATTTAAAAGTTGGGACATTTTAAATATTACATGACTTCTAGATCAAAATAATATTTACAAAATGAAAACTGCTTATTTAAAAATTTCCTATGTGGTAAGATCTGTCCACACCTTATCTGCCTCAGAGAAAAGGGTTTCTGTTATTTTACCCACATTCTCAAATGAATTCTAGTCACTTGGGAAGAATGAGCCTTGGTCGTGTGCCATAATGGCTCAGGCACTATCCAAGTTAAAGATTTGGCTGCGAGTTATTTATAGGGAATGAAAAACAAGGGTTTGAGATGTGCAGAGCATGAGAAAGCAACCAGAAAGAAAATTAAATGCTTCACTACCTTGACAAGGAAGATAAATTTTATTCTTATTATAGGCAAAGGTTGCACGCCACGATGTTCACTGCAAGTCAGAGGACCATTTTCTGAAGTCAGTCCTCTCCTACTTCACCCGGGTTTTGGTGATGGGAACTCAGGTCACCAGGCTTGCCCTCATACAGAGGCCCTTCTGAGTCTGGGTTAGTGATGTCTGTTCACCCAACAGTGATGTATCAGACATGCCTCTTTCTTGACACCTGCCTAAACTCATTTGAGAGGATAACTGTTAGGAAATTCTATTTTTTTTTCATTCTTTTACCCATTGAGCCATCTCACAAGCCCCAGATATTGCTTTCATATGCAACAAACACATCTTCTGGTTAAAAAATGTGGTGTTCTGGGAGGTACCAAAAATTCAGCTGACAGTTGAGGATAAACTACCCTGCAGAAAAGCAAACAGCAACAATGATGTACATATATTCCCTTCCTTGTCTACGACTCTTCTATTGGCCTTCAACTGTATAATAAATTCCTTAGAGAAATCAACTAATAAAGGTAAAAGATGAATTTGGCTTATAGCTTTAGAATTTTCCAGACCATGTTCAAGCAAACCCATTACCTTTAGGTCTCTTGTTGGGAACACCAAATGGTAATGGCAATAACACAGCAAATAATTCACCTCATGCCAGGAAGAGAAAGGAGAGGAAGGAAAGATATGCTCCCCGTGACATACAGAACCTTCCGCTAGGCCACTTCTTAAAATTCATGTCAACAGAGCCAAGCTGCAGCCCGGGCCTTTGACACACGGACTTTTGAGAGCGTTTTAATCCAAACGGGGGCCACCCTTCCCCACAAAACAAAAATTCCATTCAAAGCCCCCATGCTCTCATAGACAGACAATTGGCCAGGCTAATCCACTGAATTCTGAAGAATTTTGACTCCATGGTTTGCCCTTCGCTCCATTTTATTTATCCTCTTTAGCATCCTCTGTCCTATAAGTAAGTCAAAGAGACAACACAAACGTTGCCCTTCCGGAAGGTTAATGGCTTGAGTGAGTGTCAGGGACACACAAATGCGATGGGAGAGTCACTCTAGGAGATACTGAACTACAAAGGTAACGAGTATTAGCAGCAAGGATACTGGTACAGCTATGGAAGTCAACAGAGGCTTCAAAAGAGCTAGGAAAGTTCTAGGACTTAGGGAACAGATGCAGAAGGGGAAGTAAAGCTAAGCATGTTGACACAGCACTCAGAAGGCAGATGCAGGAGGATCAGGAAGAGTTTGAGGCAGCTTGGGCTATACAAGGGAATTCCAGGACCACCTGGGCTAAAATAAAAATAAAAATATAAAAAGTAAAAATCAAACTGTAGATTGAACTCAGAAACTATAAATACAACATCCTAATGTAGTCCAGAGTCCCGTGCTTGTGGGTTGGGTATATGGCAGGAAAATGATGGTTAGATGATGGAGCTGGGTCTAAACATTGAGAGCCTTAAAAATCTAAGCAGAGGCTGGCAGGGTTAGTGTGTTGAGAAACAGGCACAGTAAAATCGCATAAAAAAGCATTGCCTCTGAAAGATAACTGGGCACAGGCCTTAGGATGAATTCAGGCTGGAAAGCTAATGACTGGAACTTGTATGAACAATTGGATAGAAGACTGTAGCCAGAATTCAGCCCGGCATGGTAAGTGCTGGAATCTATTCGTGGCTCACAAGGAAGAACAAGGAAGGACGCTTTAGCAATGGAGGACACGGGACAGAAGTATGCATTAGTCAGGAGCTTGATATCTCTACTGGAGGAGCTCACATACAGACTTCCCTAAAAGGATCACTGCGGGCTGCCAGCTTCTCAGAATCTTTCAGTGCTGGGCTGCTCTGATCCTCAGCACAGGAGAATCACAGAGGAATCGGGTTCCTTCTTTCCTTGATCTTTATTCCGCCATTCCTGGCTGAGCTGCCAGAGTGCCGCCACAGATCACATCCTTTCTCTGTGTCTCCATTTTAGTATCTATAAAACAGAAATTGGTTTGTTACCCATCTCACAGCAACGCCACAGAGCTTGTGAAATATTGGGCCCTAGGAAATACTGGGCATTTGTGAGGGGGGGAAAAAGGCCTTGTGATAAATAGGAGACAGAGACCACCTAAAATTACATAGAGACTTTCACTTTTGAGAGCTTCATATTTCTTGCCCTGAAGGTGATCAGGTTCCATCATGAACAAATGTATTCATATACACAACTCTGAAAAGTACAGAGTATTAAAGGCCACAAATCCTCTGGCATTCCGAAATCACAATGGTGAGTTATAAATATGAATGCTTATGTGAGCCACCCACTGTGGGTGCGGGGAACTGAACTCTGAACCTCTGGAAGAGCAGTAAGTACTCTTAACTGCTGAGCCATGTCCCCAACCCCAATAATAATATTTTTTTTTAAGTGGGCAGAGAGGTCAAGATGAAAAACAAGGACAGAAGAAAAGAGCATTGTGGAGAAATAAGAGAATGCAGCGGAAATGTATTAGTTACTGTTCTATAGCAAATCATCACAAACTCCATGTCTTAAGCAATAAGGCCTGGCTGTCAAGTTGACCCTGTGCAGTCAGTCAGATTGTGCCTGCTCCTCCATGAGCTAGCTCCCTATTCCTTGGCACAAGGACTTGCTCCAGCCTGGGCTTATCTGGAGCACATTGGATGGGGCAACTCTTCTCCACATGTCTGTCGTTGTCTCTCTGGGACCAGTGGCCTGGAAGGAATAATGTATGGCTCATGGTGATAGCAGAAGTGTAAAAAGAAAAACAGAAGAAATACATGAGAAAAAAAAAATGAATGCTTACAAACTTGTGTAGTCATGCTAAGTGATTTTCCTGTGTATTTGGTGTTCCGGGAAGAAGCATATGAGGATGAGTGTGAAGGCTCTGCGTGGGTGGTTGGTAGAAGACTGACATTCTCAGATAACCAGCACCATTGCAGACCAGTTGCCGTCTCGTAGGCATCAAGCGCACCACTCCCAATATTCAAAAGGGCCACTGTGTGTGTGCTACTGAAAACCACACAGGAAGTATCTTAGTCATGGTGCAACAAGTTAATGTCAAAATAGGAAACTGTCTCCAGGAACATCTAGTCCAGCCCCTTCACTTCAGTGGGTGAAGAATATGATGCCTGGGTGATTAAGTGGCACATTTAAAGTCACAGGATAATCAGTGTGAGAGAAAAACAAAAACAAAAAAACAGAACTGAAATTCAGAGTCTGGGGACACACTGCTCGATTTTTGGTATTCCTCTTTCTGAGATTCCAGCCTTGACAGATGACCAACGTGAAGAGAAAAAGCAAAGATATGGAAACGAAGAGGAAGAAAAGGATTTAGAACATTCACATGAACAGGCTCCTTTGAGAAGCTCTGGGGCATCTCCACTATGTATCCTCACAACACACATTGAGCCTAAAAGAGACCCAGGAAGGAAGGGAGAGGGTGCATTGGAACTTGCATTAGAGACAGGATACGTCCAAGAGGGAAGACAGAGAAGCAACGAGTGGATGTCACTCTTGTATATCTTAGTAAATATGAAGACTAGCTACTGAGCAGGCAGAAGTGAAGACAAGAGAGGCATAAAAGGAAGTGACTATGAGGACTTCCGAGGAAAGCTCCTGTATTGAAATCACACACCTGGCCTGGAGGAACGTTTCAAGTAAGTCGAAGCAGAATCTTCTGAAGAAATGAAGTGCAGAAGGCTTCACCAATCCAAGTCCTGGATTCCTGTGACGTGAAATAGAATGTGTCATTACCCAGTAGTGACTGGAGACAACCAAGACCATCACTCGGATTTGCTCATGTGTCGACTTGACGAGCAAAAGTGTTGAAGTGCAACCGTGGCCACTCTCTGAACAACTCACTTATCATGTCACCCCTCTTTATTTATGATTTCATTGTCCACAGTTCCAGACACTCATGGTTAGCCACAGTCTCAAAATATTAAATGGAAAAGTCCAGAAATGAAGAGTTCATAAGAATTAAACACCATTCTTTGTAGGGTGATGAGATGTCATACTGTCCCACTCTGTCCCACCCAGAATGTGAATCATCTTTCTGGTCCAGCATGTCCACATTGTCCACATAACAGCCCATTAGTCACTAGGATGTTGTCTTAGTTATCGGGTTGACTGTGGAAATATCCTGACACTTAAATTCATAAGACTATTACATTAACCCAACCTAGAATTGTGTCTTAAGGATGATGTCATACCTCATTCCTTGTCATGTAGGCATTGCATCTTACAGTACCCTTGGAACAGAGGTGAGTACCATATAAGATATTGGAGAGAGAGAGAGAGAGAGAAGCCATACTCACATTAGGTTCATTACAGCAAATGATTATATTTTTTGTATTGTTGATTATTGTTAATCTCTTAGGGTATCAGAAACATGATTAAACTGTACCATATTATATATACATATATTATACATTTATGTGTGTATATATAAAAGAACATAGTATATATGAGGTTCAGAAGTTCAGTGGTTTCAGATATCCACTGGGGGGAGGGGATAATTCATAGGAAGCATCCTGTGCAGATACTGAAGACTAGCACCTTAAACCACCAACCTCTACTAACGTTACTCATTTGAGCAACACAAAGACAGACAGATTGCATCTTTTGATTTTGATTCTGTGAAGAAAGGCTTAAGAACATGGAGACAGAGGTACTATTTGAAATTCTTCAAATTTCCACTCACAGCTTTCTAAGAGAAGACATTTAGATGCTATTGGATAACTAGGTTTTCCAGTATATTACCCCTGACATAAACATGGCCAACAGTGGGGGCTTACTGATAAAATTATTTATAAACTTGATGGGTCTGATGAAAAATATTAACATAGGGGTTGGAGAGATGGCTGGGCAGGTAAGAGCACGTGTTGTACCCAGGTTCGGTTCCCAGCACCCACATTGTTGTTCGCAACCATCTATAATTCCAGTTTCCAGAGAATCCAATGCCTTCTTTTGGCCTCTGTGGGCATCAGGCATGCATATAGTACACATATAGACATACATGCAGGGAAAACATTCACACATACAAAATAAATAAATCTACAAAGAAGTTAACTTGGAATTCTAAAGTGAGAACTCATTACTCAGATAAATGAATAAAGCTACAAATAAAGAAACACAAACACACACATACACAAAATACAAAAACAAAACAAAACAACCCTCACAAGTGAAGTACCAGGGATTGCTCCACGGCAGTATTAATAGTCTCGTATTTTTACTGCAGTTTTTACAGAATAGACTAACTAAGCTTTGTTAGTGGGATAATGAGATTTTAAATAGAGCAACATAAACCATGTTTATCAAAGGGAAAGCTCCTAGATGTGGCAAGAATCCAGCCCATTACATCGAGACTCGGGCTGCTACACAAAATTCTATCAGCGACATGAGAAAAGGCCGCATAGGTGAAAATTTGAAAGAGATAGAATATGAGAAATGGACAGAAGCTTTAAGAGATAGAATATGAGAAATGAACAGAAGCTTTTGATGTTGGGTGTCGAGTTGTCTTCGTTTTAATAATCTCATTTTATGTTTATTTCCCAAGTTTATTTGAAAAGCATCATCTACTCTCGACCGCCCCGGTTGGTAGACAAAATGTGTGGTACTCTTGATGGAAGATAAAGATTACTGTAAAATCAAATCATCTTTACAAAGCCATGCTGTTATGATTTTATATGTGTTACAAACACTTCTCAAAAGAAACATAAGTGACCAACAATAAATCCATGGGAAAAAATATTCCGTGTGTACTCACTTGTAGGTGGATATTAGCTGTAAAGTAAAAGATAAACATGCTATGGTTCACAGACCCAGAGAGAATAAGTAACAAGGAGGGCTTAAAGGGGACACAAGGATCTCCCTGGGAAGAGGAAATAAAATTATTTCTTGGGCAGACTGGAGGGGGGTGGGGTTAGGACTAGGAGGGATCAGATGTGTGCAGGGTGAGAAAATACTGAGAGAAATGACTGGAATGGGGGGCACTTTGGGGGTGAGGTGGAAACCTAGCACAGTGGAAACTCCTTGGAAGCTACAAGTCTAGCAAAGACTCCTAGTAATGGGGGACATGGAGCCTGAACTGGCCATCTTCTGTAACGAGGCAAGGCCTCAAGTGGAGGGATTGGGACACCAACCCAGCCACATAACCTTGGACCTACAGTTTGTCCTGCCTGCAGAGTGTTCTGGGACCAGAGCCTAGCAGAATCCTCATCTAAGAGACCAGAGAGACTTCATCCAGCAACTGATGGGAGCAGATGTAGAGTCCCACAGGCAAACATTAGGCAGAGCTCAGGGAGTCCTGCAGAGGAAGGGGAGGAAGAATCAGAGGAACCAGAGGGATCAGGGGCATCAGGAGAACATGGCCCACAGAACCAACTAACCTGGACTCATGGGGGCCTTCAGAGATTAGGGAGCATTTAGGGGTCTGACCTAGGCCCTCGGCATGTCATGGCTGAGTAGCTTGGTGTTCTAGTGGAATTCCTGACAGTGAGAAATGCGGTTTCCCTAACTCTTTTGCCGGCTTGTGGGACCCTTTTCTTCCTACTGAGTTGCCTTGGCCAGCCTTAATGTGATGGTATGTGCCTTGTCTTATATTGCAGCTTATTATGCCATGTTTGGTTGATGTCCCTGGGAGGTCTGCCCTTTTCTGAGAGGAGGCAGAGTCGGGGGTGCATGGAGTGGGAAGGGAGGTTGGGAGAGAGACTGGGGGGAGGGGAAACTGCAGTCAGGATGTAATATATGATAGAAAAATGAAATTAATAATAATAATAATAAATAAAAGAAAAATGTTCAACACCTTTTGCCATCATGGAAATGCAAGTCAAATTTACAATGTGTTATTAAGCTGGCTATTAATTTTTTTAAAAAAATCTGAAATAGCAAGTCCTTGTTGGCAAGGACTCAGAGGAAAAGGAACCCTTAGGCACTGTTGGAGGCAAGTAAGTTAGCATAACCAATACAGAGAAAAGTACGGAAATGCCTCCAAAAGCTAAAGCTGCAACTATCAGATGATCCAGTTACACCACATCTGTGTATTTATTCAAAGTAAATAAAATCAGCATAACATGCGTACATGAATACATCTGCAAATGCATGTTCATTGAAGCACTATTTATAGCAGCTAATACAGTGACAAAGCCTTGGGCCCTATCACCATATGAATAGGTAAAGAAAACACAGTACACACAGTACACACACGCACACACACACACACAGAGAGAGAGAGAGAGAGAGAGAGAGAGAGAGAGAGAGAGAGAGAGAGAGAGGATTATTTATCCATAAAGAAAAATTATGCCCTTTGCAGGAAAATGGAACTATAAATCATCATGTTAAACAAAGTTAGCCAGACACTGAAGTATCACACATTTTTTATCATAAGTTTAAAATAAAAATCCCTGAAAATAAAAGGGGACTACTAGAGAAAAGGACTGAAGGACCGGAGAAGAAGGAAGAGGAGGGAGAGGAGGAGGAGGAGAGCAGGATACAGGAGAATCAACAATAGACAATGAGCATACTGTGTTCATATGTATGGAAATGTCACAACTAATAAATGTAACTGTTTTAAAAGGACTATGTTCAAATCTGATCCCTATACAGTTTTTTGTTTGTTTGTTTTAGGATTGTTTTAAAGATTTTTTTAATGTGCTTTAGTGTTTTGCCTTCATGTATGTCTGTGTAGGGGTGCCAGATCCCCCGGAACTGGAGTTCCAAATCATTGTGAGCTGCCTTGTGAGTGCTGGGAATTGAACCTGGGTCCTCTGGAAGAGCAGCCAGTGCTCTTAACCAATGAGCCATCTCTCCTAATGTTATACAGTTTTTAAAAAGACTAACAAAGTAACAGAAAGTTAGTGAACAATTTCAACTTCTTTAAAAGAAAGACTCTTTTAAAGAAGACCGTGGTGTGGCACAGTATCATTTTTATCCTTCTGGTAGATGTTTCTTGAAGTAATGGTGATCTAGCTCCATCTTTCACATTGCAGTCGGAAGATGCATGATTAATGGGCAGGATTTATTGATAGGTGGGTTTTGATGGCTCATAAGCTACCTTGTACAAAGAGCTCAAACCGTTATTAAAAGAAATGATCTACTTGGAGAGTTTATGTGCATGCTGTCCCTTATTGGGTTGTACCAGAGGGTGAATTTCTGCCTGTCTTGAATGTCACAGGAGATAATCTCACTCTCCGTTGACTCTGGATTCTAGTGCTCTCAAGATCTTGTCTACACTTGAGTCTTCAGCAATGAGATACTCCTTTGAACTCTCTATAACTCAGTAAAAACATACAGCCACTATCCACCCCAAGTTATAGATACAGAAATAGAACCTACTCCTTAAATTTCATCACCAAATAATTCTCTGTTAATCACTCCACGGCAGAGTATTTCACAACATGTACTACATTTAATCTTCATAATGATATGAGAAAAAGCTCTGCTAGGCCATCAAAACAGAGCAGAAAGATGAGGTGAAGTCAGCTTTGGATGTGTCCAAAGGTACTGTGTTAAAAATGGGGAGAAACGAGAACTGGATAAGTCATCTGTGAAACCAGTTTCTTGAAACTGACTTGGGTTTTGTGCTATTCACACCCAGCAGTGCCGTCCCAAGAGAGAGCTGCACTGTTTACCTCTTCCTGAGTTTCCTTTAAAATCAGTGCAGCATGGCTCCTTGCAGTAGAAAATTAAACAGGCGACGACTCCAAAGGAATGTGTTCTTGA